TAGTTGCTTTGTCAGTCTATTTCTATTTGTGTATGCATATATATTTCCCAAACGATGAATTAATTGGCGACTATGTCCCTTCACCCAAAATGCTTCAGGGTATAATTCCGAAGAACAAGGACATTCTCTTTATGTAATCACAGTACAATGATCAAAGTCAGGAAATTTAATGTTGTTACAAAGCTATTGTTTAATCCACAGTCCTTGTTCCTCTTTTGTCAATTGTTCCAATAATGTCTCCTATGGCTACTTTTCTTTCCTGGTCCAGGATCCAATTTAGAATCATACATTGTGATTTAGTTGTAATATCTCCTTAGTTTCTTTTCATCTGGAACAGTTCCTCAGCTTTTCTTTGTATTTATTGACCTTGAATTTTTAAAGAATATAGGCCATTCATTTTGTGGAACATCCGTTAGTTTGAGTTTGTCTGATGTTTCTTCAAAATTAGATTCAGGTTGTGCATTTTTGGCAGGAAGACTACAACAAGGATTTTGGGTCCTTCACAGTACATCACAGCAACAGGCACATGATGTCAGTTTGGCCCAATTGGAGATCTTACCAATTGTACAGCAACTGAACATTCTTTAGCATGATTTTTTTTTTCATTCAGTGGGCATCTTGCATTGCAGTACAATTTTCTTTTTTGCACAAGCATGATAACATGAAGTTTCTAAATTATTTTTTATTAATTGCAAAATAGTCAAAGTGCAATAACCTGGTGTTTTTTAAGGAAGCAAGTTTAAAATAATATATGTGCATTTTTACTTATGGAGTTTTCATGTCAATAGGTATACTTAGTTTGAAACAAAATCTATTTTGGACAAAAATGAGAAAACAATATTTGTAAATAATTTTGAAAAATGCAATTTAAGACTATTAAAGGACAAACTTCCTGATGCAATAAACATATTTTTATTTTTTTATTAATTTTTTCAAGATCTAATTTGCTTTATTAAGCAATTCATGAATTGGGCAGCATCCCATCTAGCAACTAGAAGCATGCTCCCCAACGGATATATTTTAAAAATATTAATATACTCTTAAAGTACAAGACCCTTATGATTAACATGGTGATATGCCAGGCAATATTCTATAAAACCAGAAGAAACCTATGGCTTATTGGGGAGGTCTGAATTATGATTCATGTGTGGATCTTAACGGTAACTGCTGCAAAACGATTTTAGACAGATTCTCAGAGCCTGACAGAAGGGAGTCATTGGGACTGGTTATGCCAAGGGGAAGCAGCTGAAAAGGGAGCCAAAGAAGATTTTAAAATAAGAGCTGTGTCAACATGCATAAATTCACTTGCTTTGAAGAAGCTGCAGTGAGATCCAGGAACAGGAAAAAAAATATTTATTGTTTTGCCTTTGCATGCCAAAATGTAATCTCTCCTTTTACTTCTACCCTTTCCTTAAAATAACAATAGTCTGCCTGTACAATGAGTGTGTTTTAAATGAACCATTCAGTGCTTTTTCCTACTCTCATTTCCAGTGCTGAGCAGCAGCAGCATGATAGACTAGAAATTCTCCTGACTTTGGAGTCAGATTGACCCACGCTCCAAACCTTGCTCTACCAGACTGGCATGTGGCCTTGAGCAAATCACTTGGGCCTCAGTGTATATGTCTTTAAATAGGGAATAAACTTTGTTTGATTGGGAAGATTAGAAACTCACAGAAAAAAAAAAAAGAACTCACAATACTTTACATATACTTTGGCCCATAGTGGACGTTCCATAATGGAAGTTGGATGTAGGACAATGTAGTTTTAAAAAAGAGCCCTGGCCTGGGAACTGGGGCACCAGGGTCCTGGTCCCTGAGCCTTCATTTCACTAATAAGTACTTGACCTTGGCATGATTCCTCAAACTTTCTGGATTTTAGTCCCATTGAGGAAGGAGCGTTGGCTAGAGAGAAACATAGGTCAAGTTCGAGGGGCACTAGCATGCTGTCACTAATGCAAAGTGGAAAATTCTTCACTGGAGAGCTGACTGCTGTGCACTGGGAATGGAGGTGAGCGAGTGAACGAGCGATCAGCTCTGCCTGGGCACTTTGATCTGGACCTTGAATGTTCGCGTGTGGGCTTTTCCACTGGAGAAAGGAGGTGTTTCAGGTGAGGACAAAGACCCAAGGGTCCAGTAGGTGAAAGGGCATGGTGCTGCCACGCCGTGAAATGGCAGCTCACATCCAATCCCACTGCAATTAGCTTCTGGGACTATCTCTGACTGTTGAGTTGTATCAGATATAT